ATGGCAAACTCCGGTCCTGTTCGTGCGTCCCACACAACCAGAAAAATATGACGTGTCCTGCCGCCCGCGTCGGATTTTCAGAAGAAAATACAACCCGTCCAATGTACTACAGCAGTATGCAATACATATGCACACACGCACACAGCGGTGCACAGCATCATCAACGTCTCGCACCTCCGTATAAACTCATCAATCCCCCCTGTATGTGAAAGCACAGCAGTAACAACTATCTCATGATTGACGGAATTAATGGGAGGGACGCACATGCACATGCACAGCAGTAGATGCAGTAGATGTGGTGATGACAGATAGATGGGAGTCTTGCTGTTGGAAACGCAGCAGCAACGTCTCGTACGTCAGTAGCAACGCATGGCCTAATCCCCCCCGTAAGTGAAAGTACATCAACAGCAGCAGTATCAACAGACAAACCTGGTGCACATCAGGTCTGTCTCTGGGTGCGCTTTTTTTCTCGATGACTATCGATGCTTGAAAATATCGAAAACTATTATTGATGATAATAGCAGCCCCCCCCGCCGTGATACCGGCGGGCGGCGGGGTCCGAGCAATACCGCTATGATGGACGGATCGGGGTACGAAATCATGTACGACGAATGCAACAATCGTTTCTCCACGTATAACAATTTCAGTGGGACACCCATACATGTTGGAAAAGATTTTGGTGAGGTCGCGAAAGGTTGCAATCATCGCTGGAAAAAAACGAGAAATATCTGTTTTTATGCTCATGAATCTGGAGTTTTTATTTTTGTGAGTCGTGGACTCCCACGATTTCATCACGCCACCCGGCCTTACCCTACATCAAATCTTGCCCGGGTTCCTCATACACACCTCAGCTCGCTGCCCCTGCTCTTCCCATCTCCCGTGCATCTGCGTCCTACCCAAAGGCGCACAAAAAAAAAGAACCCGCACACCTAACCTCCACCCCACCCCCGCCCCTGCAGGGGCACCAGATTTTTTTTTTTTTTTCGTGGTACGTTTTTGTGTAGGCTTGCTTGGCTTTTCCCTCTCCATTGCGTGTGTGTGCTGGGTTTGTTTGATAAGCTTGAGACAATGAATGGCATGTAAATCCGGCGCCTCCGGCGCTGGAAGAAGTAAATTGCTCCTTCATAGTTAGCTATCTGTCTGCGCTGTGTGATGGGCTGGGGACATGTCTACCGTATATGACACAAGATACCACCGGTACATAAGATACCACACCCCCCACAGAATACCACAC